CTCTCAGAGCAGGGCCTCTGGCCACAAGCCCAGTGGTCTGTGTACCCCAGCCTGTCTTCGTGCATGCTGTGATTGAAGCGGGCTGGAAGGCACCTGCTGTAGCCAGAGGCAGGTAGGAGGTGCCTGAGGCAGAGCACACAGCCTTGCAGACACGGGAGAGGGAAGCTCATTTCAGGACTGAATGACTGTTGTCTGGCCCCTTCCTCTCGGGTGAGTCTCACAATCTGGTGGTGGGACCAGCAGGGGCAGAATCTTCCCATTGCCTAAATGAGGGAAAGAGGGGCTTTGTGGTGATTTTCTAGGGGTGCTCCTGCTTAGACCCAGGCCCTGGTCCCTGCTGAGCAAATGTTCAGTGGGCGGGAAGACAGGCCTGAGCTCAGCTGAAGTCAGAACCAGGCTCAGGCTCAGAAGCCAGATGAAGTCCCTCTTTATCTTTAAAAAACCAACTTTGCTGCTACACTCCATTCCAGTTTAGAATTAAGTTACCAGGGAACATGAAATCAGAAGATGATTTCCAAGACCTTTTTCCTTCTGCTTCCTGTTTTACCAGCGCTGGTCCTACCACCCTCTTCAGTCTCCCAGGGAGGTCTTCCCTGACTGCCGCCCTGCCCCTGTAGCCTGCTTCTCGCCACGTGCGCCTGGAAATGTTCATTAACTGTAAGATCCCTGACAGGCAGAGAGAATGGGGAAGTAGGACCCTCGGCGGTGAGAGATGACAAACCCGATGAATTGGGCCATTGCTATGAGTTAGATGTCCTTTGTTAGAAAAGGAGGAATTGCTACGACTGTGACTTTAAGAGTAAAATCCCTTTTGAAAGCCTGTCTCTCACCTGTCTAGAAGAGAGATTGCACATCCTTCATCCTTCAAGCCAGAAACCACACGTGGCAGTTTTTCTCTCAACTGTACAGATGACTGCTTTTTTCAGAAGCCTTAAACGCAGCCCATTTCCCTGCTCACAGAAACTAGTCTCGTCGCAGGCTGAGTGGGACAAAAGGGCTCCATGGAAGCCCGTCAGTGTTCTCCCCTAGGTTAACAGAGTTTCGCCTGGACGAGGGGCACTGCGAGAGCTGGCCAAGTACTGAGGCTCAATGCAGCGTCTTCTGCCTGTGGTGCCGTCTGCCCTTACCTCGTGACAGCCTCGATGGTCATCAGTTTCCCTTCTCTTTACACTTCAGGGCTTGAAGAATCAGGCCCGGGTGAAGCTGAATATCGTGAGGTGTCCGCCGGTGACCACCGTGCTGATCAGGAGACCGGACCTTCGCTACCAGCTGGGGTTCAGCGTCCAGAACGGAATTGTAAGTTCAGCCCCATACCTATTCCAGAAGTCTGACCCATGAAACCAAGGCCCAGGGTTTGGGTCTTTGGGGGATATTTTTTAAAGCTGGTCAGTTCCCAGAAAGAATCTGGCAAGAGAGGGATGGATGGGTGAAGGCAGACCCACTTCCTCCATGGGCAGAGAATTCGGTGCCTTCCCTGGGAGGAGAAGGGCCCTCCCAGAGCGGTGGTCCTGGAGACCAGTGTCTCTGTGATGCACAGGCTGGCCCTCCTAGCTGCCAACTTGAGATAGTTTGGGAGGTACCCACCTTCCCCACAGCCTTGGCTGAGAACCCAGCTCTGTGGGGCTTATGCATGAATGATTTCCTCCTTGCCTTCTTGGCCTGAATTTGGCACTTTGGGGATAAAGTATGTTTTCATCACTTGGATGTCTGCCTTCAAATACTGGGTTAGCCAAAAAGTTCATTTGGGTTTTTCCACAAGATGTTATGGAATAAACCCAAAGAAATTTTTGGTCAACTCAGTACTTCCCTTTTTTCCCCTTTATTGTCATAAAACATACACAGTAGTAAGTTTGCCATTTAAACCATTTTTAAACATACAGTTCAGTGCCTTTATAGGACATTCTTGAAGTGGTTGTAACCATCAACACCGTATTTCTAAAACTTTTTCTTTACCCCAAACAGAAACCCCATGTTCAGTACTACTCCCTCTTCATCCTGGTTTGCCTTGGTCTAGACTCATAGTAATTCTGGGCTTTGGTGACAAATCTCTAACCTTCTGGATACTATAGATCTTTGCATTCATCTTTTCAGATAGAAAAACCTACACTTTTTCTTCCTTTAAATTTTAATTGACTTGTAGGTAATTAAAATTTTATTCCAAGTGTGTCTTAAGAAATACCTTTGAAGTTCCCAGTTGGAGTTGAAATACCTAACCCACTTTATCTATTTTTTGTACCCACGTAGCCTCATTTCCTTCTTAAGAGAAGAGTCAAGGTTATTCCTTATAGTTTTGGTCTGACAGCCTGTTTTTATCTGGTTAAACTTCCTGTGTGTGTTTTTCCAAAGTTGAATAACATTAGAAGTTGTTCAGCTGTTAATCCTCTTCTAGGATTGCCCTAGAAGAGATGCAGAGCCCCCAGTTTTCTCTCAAGGGTGGGAAGCACCTAAGGGCCTGACTCCCAGAGGACCTGGCAGGCTGCAGGGTCCACACGCTCACAGACACAGAAAGCATGTTGTCCCGAGATGTTGCAGTGTCGTGTGCATAGGCTTTTAGAGAAAGGTGCAGAGTCAGGAGTGAAGTCAGCTCTGTTAACTCAAACCATGTTCCTCTGGGACAATTGCAGCTGCTTTGTGGGTGAGGTGGGGGTGCCTGCAGTGTGCAGGCCAGAGCCCTCCACCACCCTCCAGCCTCTGCCCACCACCGTGCCTGCTGGCTGCACTGAGACAGAAAACAGCCATGTTGTCATTTCTGCCAGCGGGGAGTGGAGCAAGGACCGCTGAGCTTCTGCCCGCCAGCTGGCCAAACTGTGGCACACGCAGTGGGGTTCTAGCAGGTTCTAGCCCCAGCGTAAGTTATGCAACTAACCCTAAAACGACAGCTGCTAGCATCACACAGTTCAGTGTTTGAGTCCCAGATAATACTGACCTGCGTGACATAGACTGACGGTTTGAAAACACTGGCAGCTCTGTGACAGGCCCAGACAGCTCTTTTTACCAAAGCTGAGCTGGGATGAAAAGTAGTCTGAACTCACGGGGCCGTGAAATCCAGTGATGTGCTGTGTTCCCTGTGCAGACTGCGTGAACATGAGGGGGCCGTCTGGGGGTCCACAGTCCACTTGCTTGTAGAAACAAAGATGTAAATGTCCAGAGCCTGACCATGGCAGCTTCTCAGAGATGAGAGCACTGGGGGTGGAAAACTCTAGAAAAGACAGTCTCCTGCCCCAATGGGTTTCCTAACAGGCAGTGCCCTCTGGGATGGGTCACTTGGCCTCTGACTAAATTTGGCCTTTGACTCTGACAGATTTGCAGCCTCATGCGAGGGGGAATAGCAGAGAGAGGAGGCGTCCGTGTGGGACACCGCATCATTGAAATCAACGGGCAGAGCGTGGTGGCCACCCCACACGAGAAGATCGTCCACATCCTCTCCAATGCTGTGGGGGAGGTAAGGGAGGGGCCTGGGGTGGGAGTCCCCTGGCACCCCTCATCCCAGCCAGGAAACCCTCCTGAGAGTTCTTCCACATCCTGAACACATCTCCACAACCAAACTGTCTTGGACCAGAATTTAAACCCAGTAACTGCTTGCCTGACAGCTGATTCTCCAAAACATCATCACATCCCCTCAGCCCTCTCCTCCAGCGGCCTCTACCCGCCTCCTCTTCTAGTTCTCTAATGTGGGCATATTCTCCCCATGGCTACCCAAGTTTTCTCCATTTTTCCCAGCTAATCCCACCGAATGTGCCTGTAAGATTTAAGTCTCAGATTCAAGTCTAATCAGCAGCTCCCTGGGACGGCCAGGCTGAACAGGGGTATGAACAGCTGTTCTAGGGGAGGGAGGGAGGCAGGAGCAGCCAAAACCCCACAGTGGTCCTCCTCCTGTGCTAAGGGGTTTTCTCCTAAAAAAAAAAAAAAAAAAAAAGCCAAAACCTGGTGAGAGCCAGAGCTTTGGGGAAAGTAGAGCATCCCTGGTTTTCATTCTTCACTGTCTATCACCCCTAATGTTTTAGAAAGCCCGTGGACTCTGCTCTTCCTGGAGGCTGCCTGGGTCAGATCCGTGTTAGAAATGGGGTGAGGGGGGAAGGGGGTGTACCTTGAAAGGCGCCCTCACAGCTCTAGAGCCCCAGCCCGCCGCCGACATGTGTTTCTGCCTGCAGATCCACATGAAGACGATGCCGGCTGCCATGTACAGACTGCTGACGGCGCAGGAGCAGCCCGTCTACATCTGAGGCCGCGCCCCGGGGTGGCTTGCATGGAGGACTCTCCTCACTTGTGGTTGTGTTTCTCGTGCTGCATCTGTGTGCCCACTGAGACCTTCCCCTCTCACGCCCAGCACTCGGTTTGACACGGAGGAAAAGAATCCACAGCGACCTCCCTCTCTCTCTCTCCAGTTTGCTTTCTTTGTTTCAAATGCCAGGGAGGTCTTGTATGCACTCCCTTGAGGCTGGAGAGCAGGTCAAAGCCACCCAGAATCTGCTGAGGACCTTCCTGAAGGGCCCTTGAGGGAGGGGGATGCCTGAGGAGGGTTGTCGCCACCCCGCGCCCTCCCTTTCCGAGAGGTGCAGACCTCCGAGGAGGAGCCCCTCGGGACGTGAGGAAGCCGATTCCGCAGTGCCTACGATCCAGTGGCCGACGTGTGCTCTCTCCCAGTCAGTTCATGGGAATATGGTGGTAATGGGGGGCCGGCCCACCGTGTACCTGGGGCATCATATGCTATTTCCTTGCAGAATTTCTGAGCCAACCTTATGCCTCTTCTATAGCCAGTTTTAGTTTCAACATTTTCTAATGTGAACCTTTTCACCCCGGGACAGAAGGGGAGCTACTGTGAGGCGGATACCCGTGCAGAGAACTGGGCGATTCCCGAGGTTCCCAGCCGTTAGATAAACAGGCGGGTACTTCTGCCCCCTTCCGCACCACACATACGTACACACGTCTCACTTGCATATATTCCACCCTGCCCTCCTCCCCGCCACCAGTCAGGCGGCCAGAGCCCCTGGAAAACCCCCATGGCCTCTCTGCGGCTCCGTCCCCCCGGTGAGGGCCGCAGGGGCTGGGGAGCCCTGTCCGGAGAGGGACGGCCCCCTGAGGCTGAGGTCCAGCCCTGCCGGCAGTTCCTTGGCTCAGCGGATTCTGCCGGACTCTCCAACACACACCCCCGCACCCTGGGAGTCTGGACAGGATGGGCTGCTCCCCTTGAAGATGAGGAACCCAGTGTGATCGTGTTAACACTTCCTGGTCCGAGGTGGGACCAGCCTCCTCCGCTTCTCAGGACCACAAGGCAGGATGTGACATTTGATGGGCCAGCGCCGTACATAGACCACAAAACTAAGGGGACAGTCGTGACCTCAGGCGATGCCTAAGAATCCCCAGATGAATTCCAAAAACATCTTGCTGCCTCGGGGGCCTGAAAAAGCTTTTACTTGGTGTGGAATGTTACGTGTTCTCATCCGGCGCCTCATGTCCGTGGGTTTCGTTCGTCTCGGTTCAGTGCAGATATTTTCGTAATACCATGATTCTGAGCCAGTTTTCACTTACTCCTGGTCCAAAGAGCACTTTTGTTTCCATGTGGGTGGGGTGTGGCTTCGTTTGGTTTTTGTTGTGTTCCGTTCGTGACCTCCACAGAGACAGGGTCAGAGAAACTATTTTGTGATATTATTATAGTCCCTGTTCTCAACATCTGGGCTCTTTATGTTGTGTCTGTGGAAATAGCAACCTGGTGAGCACATGTTGGGTAGTATGGATTTATACCTCGAATAGAGGGATTTCAGGGAAGGAGAAGATGAATAAGAAAAGACTGGGAACAAGAGACTTCCGCCACAGAGGTTGTGCAGTCAGCGCCCCGGGATCTCTGTGCTGAGTTTTCTGTGTAGGCAGGAAAGCCAGGTGCTTCAGTGGCGTTAGTTGCTGGACTCCCAGCGTGACTGTGGGTCAGACCCTGCCAGAGGGGCTATGCTGCCCACACATCCCCCCTGGGAAAGGGGCTGCCCCTTCTCCAAGGGTCCAGGGTGGGCAGTATGAGACCCCGGACGACTTTTGAGGACAATTAGCTGAATGTTGCTAAGTTGCTAAGTAGGAGACCAGCCCCAAGGCTAACCCACTGCGAACATGAGGAGCCACGAACCCCAGTACCATTTACCAAACTGTAGTGTCTGCTGACATACAATTAAATACTCAAGAGTCCTGAGTTCACCTTTGCCAGAGAGAGTGGGTAAAACAGGAATGCAGCATTCTGGGTGGCATTGGGAAATAACCGGAGAGTGGCTTGTGCCCTCTGCTCCCAGGTGAGCTCTCGAGCCGCCTGCCCCCACGCCCCTTCAGAGGCGTCGGTGGTCGGCCACTGGACAGGCACCCCACCAGCACATCCCCACGTAATTACAGTGAAGCGTTTTCACACAAAGGAGAGGAGGAGGCAGGCTACACTTCCTATTGCTACGGCACAAAAATCTTAGAAGGTTTGACAGGTGTTTTTGACAAGGCCAGTTTGGTAAACTCTCCTTAGGAGACTGACATTTTAGTGTAAGATTATCCCACCACATACCTTTGTGTCAATAAGAGTGGCTCCTCACACCCGGATAGCCAGATCTCTAGTTTGGTGGAGGTTCAGTCGGCTGTAGTATGTTCTTACCTGCCTGCTCCCTCTGGGTGGAGGGGAGTCAGCCTATCTTCAGAAGTTAACCAGGAGGCAGGATCTTAACAGACATTCTGTTTGGGAAGTCTCACGGGAAGTGATGGCCTGTTTCCCTCTGACATCCCAGTATATATAGTTACATATGTAAATATCTGAAAACCCCAGGTAATGGCGAAAACTATGTACAGAGCAGCCTTCCCAATGTGGCCCTGGGCAAAAAGCCACTGTCGCCACTTGGCTTGGACATGCTGGTGACTCAGCTTTGGGGATAGATGCCCAGATCCATCTACTCCCTCCTGGTCCAGCCAGGGTGTTCCAGAACCCGTCCTGCCTCTGCCTTCTCAAATGTGACCATTTCAGGGAGCCACCCTCAGCCTTGGGTTCACGAGAGGATGAAGCCCCCAGAGAGCAGTGCCGAGCCTGCTCCCCTCACGGGAGCGGCTCCTCCAGGCCTGGAGCCCATCACGGGGCCCTAGACTCTGAGTCCCTGCATCCGGGTCTGCTTTCCCAACATTGTCCATCGGCCCCGGCCTCAGAGAGTCCCAGAGTAACCTACTACCTCCCCATCGCTCCCGCTATCCTGGTCACACCCGCCACCCCGTCTGCACACAGATGAGAGCCGCCCATGAGCCCTTCTTGGGTCCCTGGGCCCAGCAGTGAGGCTGTTACCAATGTTTACAATCAGGGCACCTCCTCTGGGGCGTGTTTACTCTCCCACTCCCAAGGCCACTTGCTGGTTTGAGTTTCGTGTCCATCTGCCCCTTCCCTGGTTGAGGCCGACTTGAACACACAACCCTGATCTTACGTCCCGACCCTCCGTCAAGGCCATGGTGAGGACTGTGTGGGGAGGATATTCCTTGTACATACTCAGCACAGCCCCTAGAGTTTGGACTTGTACTATTGTTCTGTAAAGAGGGTGAAATAGAGCTTATTGTAAAGCGTTGGGAGAAGTATAGTATTGTATTTGTAACAATATGGTTCTTTGTATACACAAAACTCAATGATCTCTATATATAATTATAAATAGATATAAATAAGATATATATACACGTGAGCCTGGAATGTTGATGCCGCACACCCACTGAATGTATTTCCCCTGACAGTCTGGTCACTGGGCTGGCCCGCCCTCCCCCCCTCCGTACTGTTTCGGGGGTTGTGATGTATTTAATGTGTTCCCTTCCTTTATTTAACTGAACGCTAACGTCTGTAAGAGTTGCCGCAACAATAAACAGGAACGTCACCTCTTGGCCCCGGCTGAGCGTCTTCATGTTTTCAGGGGAGGGACAAGACTGAAAGTGGAGGAAAGATGTCATCATCCCAAAAGGCCACCTCCTACCCATCCCGGGGGGGCCTGCTCAGTGCCCAGAGCCTATTACCTAAACGGGCAGGTTCTGTGAAGCCAACACAGCTAGGAAACACAAGCGGCTGTGTCAGCTGGTAGAATAAGTCCACTGTCTCATCCACCTCCCGGGAGCACACTGCATGGGACACAGGAACCCTCTGGGCTTCTCACTGAGGGAGGGGAAGTAGCGGTGAATTACCTGCCCCAAGAAATCTCCAGGGAGGCGAGGTAGCCCTGCGTAAGTGGACTGCAGGAGGAAAACGTTCCCTGTGCCATCCCCCACCACGACCACAGAGGACAGAGGAGCCTGCCACCGTGGGGTGGCAAGAGTCAGACAGGACTTAGCGACGGGACAATAACTGAATCATTGCCGTGCAGCGAAAATTAACATTATAAATAAACTATAACGATAAAAGAAAAATCTGACTCATACAAATATAGAATGAACATGTTATCAAATATAGAATGGACATGTATCAGATTTATTAACTCACTAATTGATGAAACAGGTAAGATGGGAAGAGTATTTTGAAGAACTAAGTATAAAGTTTTTTTAAAGGACTTAGAATGAAACCTCTATATCTAACCTAATCGGTTAATGTCCTTTAAGGCCCTATAACTATCACCTTTGGAATTACCTTTTCTAAGCAGAAATCATTTGCATCTCTAGTTGGGGGTAGACGGAGGACTGTTGGATGATAATAAAAGCCAAGAAGAAGAATAAAGCACAAAAAAAAGAATCAAAAGCAGGGACTCCAGCAGATATTTGTGCACCCATGTTCATAGCAACTTAATACACAGTAGTCATACTAGAAGCAACCCAGGTATCTATCAAGGGATGAATGAATACCCAAGATGTATACATATAAAATGGACTATTATACAGCTTTAATAACAGCAAATTCTGACACATGTTGATGCTTGAAGACAAACATGCTAAGTAAAATAAGCTAGTCAAAAAGGGACAAATATTGTATGACTCAACTTATATGAGCTATCTAGAGTAGACAAATTCATAGACACAGGAAGAAGAATGCTGGTTGCTAAGGGCTGAGGGAGGGCAGAAGGGGGAGCTCTTGTTTAATGGATATAGTTTCCATTTAGGAAGATGGAGAATGTTCTGGACATGGGTGGTGGTTATAGTTGTACAACAATGAGAATGTACTTAAAGCCTCAGAATTTTAACCTTAAAAATGCTTAAAAAGGTAAAATGTATTATGCATATTTTACCAAGTTTTTCTAAATAAAAGCGCACAAACATGGAATGAGTTTAAAGGTACTGTTTTACATGGGATAGTTAGAGAAGGCCTCACTGAAAGGACGAGGGCCCTGTGGATGTCTAGGGATGAAGGTTCTAAGCTGCAGGGACAGCACACACACAGGCCTGAGGGAGAGCCGGAGGCCACTGCTGCTGGAGCAGAGAGGGAGGCAGCAAGTGGCTGGAGATGAAGGCAGTGGGGCGGGGTGTGACAGTGGCAAATATAGGTGGTGGTGAGAACTCTGGTGATGCATACATGAATACACACACACACACCTCTTGAGTGGTTTTGTTTCCACTCAAACCCACACACTCCATCACACTCAGCTCACACGCCTCATCAGCTCCTCTGAGCGCTCATCACTAACAGGAGCTAGGATTTGGCGCCCTCTGGTGACATAACTTTGGAAATACCAAATCCAGACAAGCTAGAATCTCAGATAGTGATGGAGGGAATGAGGAATCTTCGCCACCCTTCAGAGGCCCCTTGTTTTCCAAATAAGGAAACAAACGTCCTAAACAAGAATAGGACCCACAGAAAGCCATGCAGTGAGTAGTCAGCTAGAACCGCATTCCCCGGCTCCCAGGCTCCCGCTCCTTGGTCTAACCCCAGCTGCTGACCCATGGGGTGAGGGCAGTATCCGCTCCCTACTGGCCAGGCTGGGGGCAGCCTGGAGACAGGCTCAGCACTGCTGTGACCTCAGCCTTGGGCCACCTCCAGAGCCTTTGTGAGAGCTGGACAGAAAAGCACAGCTAACTGCTGGTTCGCCAACCCCTCTGCTAGGCTGGGAGAAGCCACTCCTGGAGGGCTGGGGGTGCCATTGTGAGAAAGAAGGGAGAAGCACCGCCTCATCACTACTCTGCACCCCGTTCCCAGAGCCCGCTCCACACTCTGCTCCTGTTGGCCATCTCATCAGCTGCCTGACTACAGGACAGCTCTCTTCCCCTCCACTACATAGTTTCTTATGGGTAGGGACCTAATTTTTCTCAACTTTCTAGTCATGACAGGTTATAATTAGAAGAGTCACAGACAGGGATGTAAACTACAGCTCGGCTGTTATATTACTTATATTCTCCCTGTGTGACCCTGGGCAAGTTAATTAACTACTCTGAGCTACTCTGTATTATCTGT